GCAGATAAGTTAAAAAACTGCAATACCTCTACAAAATTATATACCACTGAGCCAAACCAGCAGCAAATTCTCTTCCATCGTTCATTTCAGCCACAGCCTGAACAGATTGTTCAAAGTGCTCTATAAAACCAAGACGCGGCACAACAGACGCTTTGCTGCCACTTCCTCCTTTGGAATGAGCTCGGAGTATCAGCAGCAATTCCGACAGCGTTGCTTCTACCCGGGACAACGTTACAGTTCTTTGTCTATTCCATTTAGCACCTGAAACGCTGTCCGTTCTCACGAAGGAATGGTGCTGTGACCGAGTGCTTCAGTGAATCCAGAATAAACCAGAAACCTGTCGGCTTATTCCTTCTCTCCAGGGACAACTCTGTGCTGTAAGACACCTTGCTGCATTCCCAGTATTCAATGAGCATTTAGTAAGACTGACATAAGTGAGTTCTGGTTCACCAGAGCCCCATGATCGTCGTGGTCCACACTACAATTGTTCTCTGAACCTCATCATCAATACCAGGAAAACCAGCTTGGTAGGACATGGCTTGTCCATCCCAGAATGCGGGAGGAGATTTAAGACTGACATGACTTCTCCAAACCAGAGATGCTTTCCCAAAGGTTTTGTTTGTTTGTTTTAAGCCAAAAAAAGGTGCAATATAGCATCTCTCCTCAAACCCTGAAAAGTAAAGTGACTTCAAGATAAAAATGCCACCATTGGAAGGTCTACTGACACCCAGTCTATGCTGGCGCCCAGATCGGGAGTGGATGAGCTTCCGTGTTAAAGACGTATTTGTCAAGGTTGATTAAGTCTATGTCGTCTGAAAACAGCAGGAACATGTATTTGAGCGTTTCCCCAAGGAAGAAGCTCTCCATCTTATCCCGTGGCTCTGGATTACTGGGATTCTGAACGTTGTTAATGGAAGTATAACCACCTGTAGGAACCTGTGCCAAAAAAAAAAAAAGGCAGGATTTTTGTATATTTCAATAATTTAAAATAAATTATTTTCACTTCTTACCATCCAGATGCACTTGGAGACAATAAATGACAAGGAACAGATCAGCATGTTTTTCATTTCATACTTGTTTCTCATTTACATCTAAGACTTCAGTTATGAAAAAATTCTCATTGCATTTTAAAAGAAACCATGAGGATAAAATGAAGCAAAATGTCCATTTCCACTTAATGTAAAGAGGTATCACACAGAACATCCCACTGACAAATGCACACAAAGTAACTAGTGCAACTTCTACATTAGAGTTGGTCAAAGTACCATACTACTTCTCTTAAGAGCAGACCATGGACGTTTACTGACCACTGGCAGGCAGGCCACACGTTTACAGCGTGTCAGTGACACCCCCACGAGCACTGCCGTCAGCACGAACACAAAAACCCCTCCATTAAAGCATTCACACCATTTTGTGGCCTTTTTTTTCCCCCCCAACTTCAACCAAAGGGTTCTTTCAATCCAGCCAGGTCCTTCTCAGCTTCTGAATTCTATAATACATTGCAGCAGAGATTGTAACAGCTTCCAAGCAGACGTAGAGACACTTTGGCAGTCTGCATACAGCTTCTGCATTTTACTTTTTCATCAATACAAGGTCTTTCCCTGAAAGTACCAAGTAGCATATCTCAAACCGTAAGGCACTGCCTGAACTTCATTTTTCTGTGTTTTCTTATGAATTTCCCACAGGTATTTGATGACTCGCAAAAGAGAGCAGGTTTGCAAAGTTCTTGTTAGAGAGCAAATGAGTGAGTACAGTCCTGACAGAACAAGGTCATTATAAGCTGACCTTACCCGTGTGTATTTATTGAAGTTCTGCAAGATTTCCCAGCCCCAGTCCTGGTATTTCTTATCACCAGTGAATCTGTACATATAAAAAAGGCTTTCCACAGTTTCTGGTCGCAGTAAGTTGTGCCTGTCTGCAGGCTGCAAGAGGAAAAAAAAGGCAAGAATAATTCAGACAGAGAATTACCTCACGGACACATGCAGGAAGAAAAACACTGATTCCCCTCTCCATGTACCTCAAAGAGCTTATTATGCACAACGCAGCTTCTAAACACAGTACAGGGGTAATGACAGTCAGAGGCCAGGGTACACCTAGAGAGCGAGGCAGAAGAACAAGCTGCTCCACAGCTGAGCACATCCCCAATATCCAGCTGGGAGCAGAGAGAGAAGAACCATCGATTCGCAGTTCAGGCCAGCTATCTGCTCACCTTGATTTCCACATCTTTGTGGCCCTTTTGTGCATGAAGATTGAAGTGTACAATCTCCGGACTCAGGCCTGTCTCCACTTGAGCGTACATCTGGTAACAGGTTTCTATCAGGGCTTCAGCCAGCTTCATATGATCAGCAGTCAAACCATTGTGAGCTCCCAGTGCCAACGTACCCGGCAAAAAGCAAACCAAGTGATCCTGCAAGACATGACAGCTCTCACTGGGGAAAAAAACACGCAACAAACGGGTATTTGTGTGCGCGCTTCTCTGTGTCCCTGTGTCTCTATGTGTGTGTGAGTCTTTTTCTCTTTTTTTTTCCCCTTCTTTCTCTTCTTCAAAACACACTTCAGGTACCCAGAACCTGAGGGTAGCCTTTTAGCAATCTGATGTAACATAGCATGAGGCAGGCAGCGTTATTACAGAGACATCGTTAATTTGGAAAATGTGTGTTTTTATGTCTGGTTTCTGCAAGCAGCGTCTGAGGTCAGGGCAAGGGCAAAGAGCATGTCTTTCCGATCACCAACTCATGAAGCAGCGTGGGCAGAATCACCTAAAGGTTTCTCGATAGAGACAACTAAAGGGACAACATAAGGGAGAAACCGATCATCCAAATTTCATTTTAAACTTAAAATGGAACAGAGATGGGAGTCAGCCACAGAAAACAGAGCTTTGGAGCCGAGGGAGAGGTCAGCTGAAGGAGATTTTCATCATTCTGAAATAATTACCCTGGCATTATTGTCAGAGAGACAACATCTGCAGAGACCATTAGATCCACTGATGTAACTGGAAAGCACTGGTAAGCTTTCAAGCACACTTCTGCCTGAAAGTCTGCCCCTTTCTTCCAACTTTGTTATCTGGGGCACTAAGCAGCCATTACCCCTCAGGTCTGCAGAGCACCAAGGAAGCAAGAGCACCATTTTTCTAGCGAGTCTGGGATACAGCTGACCCCCGTTGCCACAACTCGCTCTCCTACGCTCACTCTCTCATTTCCAGCCCGCTGAACGCCACAGGCGCCTCGAACAAAACATCCGAGGCTCTTGTACGTGTCTGTGCGGCAGAGGGGCACCTGAGGATGACTGCGTGGAGAGCATCCCTGTTTGCCTTCCCAGGACAAAGCAGCATCAATGACAGGGCTGCAGGGACGTTCCTTTCTCAGTTTTCACTTGCTACAGAAAACAATTTGTTCAAAAGACAAGAACTGTGCAACATTTGTAAACAATCGAGATTCATTTAGTTAACTTTCCAAGAAAGCTGAAGTGTCAGTCAGTTGAAGAACATATCAGAAAACAGACTGTATAAAATGTCAGAAACTGATCTCCAGCAAAATTCAGTCTGCAATACAAGACTGACTGTCTTCCTCCAGGGGCTAATCCATCTCTGACCTGGTGAGTGTAAGAATTACCGATTACTATCACATATGGGATTTCAGCCAGTGCTTACCATTCAGAATGGAAGCTCAGGTGTCACCACCCCAAAGCATCATGAAAGCACCCCAGTGCACAAGCAGCACCTTTGCAGATCTCTACAATCTTTGTCCAGTCCTAAAGCAAATGGTTAAGGTTGGCGAAGGTCAACACAGACATAGGAGACAAACATCCCCCCACTCCTCGAGCTGGCCAGGGTAAGATACCTGTCAAGCCTTTCACCCAGTAACAACCAGTTAAATCCCAACACGCTGACTCCCTGGAACAAAAGCAAGTGTACTGAGGCGTGCTGAAACCCACGCCAAACTCATCTGTCTGAATTCAGTTCTGTCATGTCTTGCGATGGAGAAGCTCCCTCTACCCAAAACTCAAGACTCTGGTCTCGCTCACAGCAGCTCTGGAGAGCCTTTGGGAAATTCAGATGCAAGAAGCACTGAAAATCTCAAAAACACGACATCAAGAAACCAAACAAGTCAAAGAAATCACTAAAGCTCACTTCAGGTATTGACAAAGTATGCATAAGGCTACACATACATAAACAATGCACCACTAATCTTAAAAAGCCACACACACATACAATACCTGCACTTGCATCAGATCTTTAACTAAAACATCTTCATTAAAGAGTAGGGATGCACAAATTAAGAGCAGGGAGTTAAGATCAATCAATTTTCCCTACAGCAAACAGCATACTATTTTACTCACTAACCTACATGCAGGAAAAGAAACAAATGTCATGAATGGACACAACCCTCCAAAATCATCAGATTTCTTGTTTTTTTAAGACCCAGTAACACAATATCAGATCACCTGCTTCTTTTGAAGGGAAGTCTGAAAAGCCAGGTGTGCAAGTGTCCATATATATTTTTAAATTACAGAAAAATAAGTACTGCCCCAACAGTTTCAGACACTGGGATTTTATGACCAAAACAGAAAAAAAGAGAAAGAAAACTCGACTCCAGCATCAAAATGTTCAAACCTACAGGAACACAAACGGATTTTACGAGAGTAACTCAGAGAGAAGGCCCCGGGTTTGCACAGGTGACTGGGCTCCACAAACTCCGTACTGCCATCACACCGGCTGTACACATCCACACAGCCTTGGCTGTCGGGGTTGTTTTTTGGGTTTTTTTGTCGGTTTGGTTTTGTTTTCTTTGGAGGGGGGAAGGAGGAAAGATAGCACAGAAGTTTTGAATTTGCCTGTCCATAGGTTTTGGTGGGGTTTTTTTGGTGGTGGTTTTTCTGTTTTCTTTTGTTGTTTGTTTTTGTGTCTTGTTTTTTTTTTTTAAACACACTTGTGCTTCTTACCATCTTGGCACTGAAATGGCCGTGAGCAAGCTCTCCTACAAAAGTCAGCTTCTTGGGCTCTGATCTCTGAAGAAGATGCTTTTTCACGCCTTCTATGGCTCTCACGTAGTCTTCCAACAGTCTGTGAATTAAAATCATTCCCAGGTGGCTCACACACATGCAGTAAGAACACATTTAATCATAGCTGATGTTCAGCACTCTCCTTTTGAAGACTCTTATTTCAATCTAAAGAACAATATTTAACCAAATGTAAAAACTGACAAAAAACCTCAAAGTCGCCTGGATATTAATTAGTTATCGCTACCATGCAGTAATATTTGGTTTACTTTTCAAGTAAACTCTAAATTTAAGCATTAAAGAAAATATACCTGCAACTCTGTTTCTAGGCAGTAGCCATATTTTATTTCAGGAATCCTTAGATTCCTGGACTACAGTAATTGAAATCACAGAAAATCTAGGCTGGTAAGGACCTCTGGGAGGTCTCTACTGCAATGTTTGACCCCTCTCGTTGTGAAACATTGTTTCACAGTATTTAACAGGAATTTCCGTGGTTGCAAAGTACTTTTATGTGGAAAAACCCTGTTGAATAAATCCATTTTGAGGCTCACAAAATGCCGTCGCTGATGGTCCCCAAGACGAGGGTTCTCCATTTACAGCGAGGTCTGGCTTGGAAAAGGCAGCAATGCAAACCTTCCCTGTAGAGATGCACCTGCTCTGACACAAAGAAATGCCTCAGAGGGGTACGTTGTCACTCCACGTGCATTAAACCCCTCGACATGAACAAGTCCAACATAATTAGCTTCTAAGTAGACAGAAACTGCTTGGATGTTTTGTCTTTTTTTGGAGGAAACCTTTTCCAACACCTCTAATTCCTCTGCTCCTTGCATTCTCTTCCACTTAACCAGTGCAGAGAAGAGAAACATAAGAGACCTAATGCAAAGTTCATACAAACATCAAACTTCAGCCTCTTGTTACAAGAAAAGTGATTCCTTAGCAACTAAATCTCCCACCTCCACCATCTTCTAGGATTCACCTTTCCCTAACAAACCCAAAGACACAGACATCACTGGTGAAACGGAGCATCACCGGTACTTCAGAAGTGTCTAATTATGCTCCGTATCTGCTGCAATGACTGAATTCTCTTCTCCTGTTTGTAACACTCCCCATATCTGATGCAAGGAGGAAGAAAAGTTTTCGGAGGAGGAGGAGGAGTTTTGAGATCACACCTAACTCTCACCCTGTTTTGACTTCAAGTTACCACAGGCCTTCTTGCTTGCTTAGCTTGTTTGTAAAAACAGTGACGTTTTCAGTTGACTGTTGGGCGCATACAGCATTTTTCTTTCAGCAGCAAACTACAACAGTTAAGTTTTACAGCTCGCATAATTCTCACACCACTACGAGAAGCAGAAAGAACTTACTCATTTTCCTTTTTCCCACCCTGAATCCATTGCTTGAGCAAATACTCGTAGTAGCTGTCGGCTCTGGCTCCCAGCGTATAGACACCCAGGTGAGTGAACTGCCCACTGTTGGTGTTTATGAACATAGGCACTAGTCCGTCATTTTTCCCTGAGAGGGTGTGAACATGCTTCATCACCTCATCTACAGCTTTCTAAAAGAAAGAAAACAGCAAACATAAATTACAGGTATAAACGATGCACAAAATAGCGGCTACCAACGTCAGGCCAATAACAAAGCTGTAACTATTCCTCCTCACATTAGCATCAGGATCATCAAGTTCAGCTCATGCAATACATCAAATACAGGATTTCAACTTTCTGACTCTCAAACAATGACGTTCTGGGTACATTTAGGTACTCTGAAATATTTATAACTGTCTCCTTTTCTCCAGGTAAGCCCACCCGAAAGCCAGTACTCTGGCAAGGGGCTATGATCTGCCTTACTCATGTTTGCAAAGCGGAAGTCCAGCTAAAACAACGGCGTGCATCATGCCATAGCTAAAGCTTCTTTCAATCACTTCAACACTCCAGCCGTGGATGAGTTTAAAACAATAACACAACGTCGCCAAACAAACAGAAGAGTGGAAAATATTCTTTTCTCTGGAATTATTTTTATTTCAACTAGCATTTCCTCACAGCGTGACCTGGTGTCAGACCCTTACCTAGCGAGTCACATTTTAGTTCCTTGGATGGCAACACCCAGGTTTTGTTCTTCACATTTAGATAATGGCATCAAGAAAAGGCACGCGGAATTCCAACAACATTAAGCAAAGTGCAGTTTCACAGTCCCCTGTCTAGCTTAGTATTTTTTCAAAATCTGGTAACCTAGTGTCAAACAAAAATGTCACTGATAAAAACTAGTGGGGTGGGGAGTTTGCTTTGGTTTTGCTGTTTGGGGTTTGTGGTTTGGGGTCTGTTTTTTTCTTTTATTCTTTTTTTTTTTTATCCAAAGCTGTTTCTGAGGGAGAAATATAATTATTCACCTCCACTACTACTTTTTGGTATTTAATAAAATGATTGGAATTACTTTTGTTTCTTTTCCTTCCCTCATTTAGAGTTTCACAACCCATTTAACATCACTTAGAGACTACAGAGACCGCGTGTATGGAGTCAGGAGCTGTGGAGAGGTGGAAAAAAGAGAAAGACGCTGACTGATTCTTTCATACCTGGAATTTCTCATCTCCAGTGAGACGAGAGAGCTCCCTAAACTCCAGCTGAATACTGGTCACCTCTGCCACAGTGCTGTCGGATGTCCAGCGAGGTGGATGTGCAGTGCCCCGGCCAATGTTGACATCAGAGTATGGGATCTTGGAGGGGGTCTTGAATGCTGGCATAAGCCTGTTCCCAATGTCCTTCTACAGAAAACCCAAGAGCACAGGACAAAACAAACAAAACAACAAATAAATAAATATACACACACATCCCTTTAGATTTTCTTTCACCAAGCAGGCAGGAAAAGAGGGAATAGCAGCTTAGTTTTAGATGGTGCATAAAAGCCAAGAATTAAAAAGGGTCACGGATTTATTCATATGAAGGACTCATATTTATTCATATGAAGTTTCTACCTTGCTCCTAGTATCTCACGCCCCATTTGAGGCTGCAATCCCTACGCACTGTGATGCGATTCCGCAGTCACTGACTGCGACTAGCTAATCTAAAGAGGCCGCTGGTGCTGTTAGAACACACAGAGAGCGTGACAAAAGACAACTATTACTCTTTGCCAGCCATTTATTTCCTCTTTTGTTTCATGAACTTTATTATGCTCAGCTCTTCATCAACCGAGCAGCAAGCAACACCTGCTAAAACACAGCAAGGCTCTGAAGTTCTCCAGAGACCAAAGGAAAGTGCAGCCTTAAAAGATTAATGATAAATCCCTTTCCCACCACTTTAAATAGCAGCAACATTTAACTTTCTGATAAATCTTCCTTCAGCTTTGTCCCACATGGCACACATAATCCAGATTCATTTGTCAGACTGGTCACTCACAGCTTTCTCCAGGAACAGGCTATCTCCAGAGAGGTGGTAGGTGCTCAGTAAGCCCCCCAGGATACGAATAGTGCTCTCAAAGAGGTTCACATCCACATTTTTATCAAATACTAAATTGTTTGCTACCCATTTTCTTGCTTCTTCAAACTCTGCAAAGTATAAAAGTAAGTTAAGTTATGAACTTCTGGCATGTTTCAACAACTAGACTAGAGACATTTGTACTCCATATAGCCATGACAGTTACTTATATCTGTCTGCAGAGATCATAATTTTAGGTGGAAAACTAAAATGAGAGCACATGCTGGGAGAATTTTGACTACCATTGGCTTCCTTGTTATTCAGCATACACCACAGCTGCAAACAGCCGGCAACGCCCAGCAAAACAAAGAGTGCCCAACAGCCTAAATAAAGAAGAAATAGAGGAATTCTTTATTTAGATAGTCCAGAAATTGAGATCTTTTGAATCTGTCCGCTAGACTTGTCAGACAAGTAGTTACACTTCCACAAAAGCCTTCTGAACTTCTTAATTAAATCTTTTAAAACCACAGCTGGTATCTACCCCGATAACAGATAACCAGTCCGGTTAACAGCCTTCAGTCTAGCAGTGTCCTGGGGAGCCTGCCTCCCGCTTCAGCACTTCACCCATAAAATCCCAACAGTCTGTAATTTTTTCTCCAGAAACAAAAATGGTTCTTTATCACACTACTAATTCAAAAAGCAATGTAAAAAAAAAAATCAGCCATTTTAGATTCCACAGTCAGCGTAGCAGCAGCACCGCTCCACGACTGGGCCTAACTCCGGGGCGTGCGAGCCAGCTTCGCCTCCACAGTCAGGGGCGCGAGCTGCCCCATGCCTTCCAGCAGCTCCTGCCTGCGAGCAGGCGCAGAACAGCCACCAGCAATGGAAGCCATTCCACAGGAGATTAACTCTACAGCAAAAGGATGCATCTGCGTCCTCACAAGAGAAACATCTTGGATGTTGAGTAAATACTGGATGTTGGGCAGCCTGCGAAGAATCAGAGAAAAATCTCTGCCGTCAGATGCTAGCACGGTTGAACACCACAACAGAAAAGGCAAGGTCCTCTTTCACAGGAGCATTAGCACTCCTCAGCTTACAAGAAAGACTGGCAACCTCAAACAGAACCTCCATTTACACAGCGTTTGTTATTCAGCAGAAACCCCAGGAGCTTTCTAACGCAATCGGCAAAAGAACTGCTATAAAATATGACGAAGACTTCACCAAGAACCCACTTGCAACACATCTAAACTACTAATAATTTATTTTAAAAGCTCTCTGCAGTTCACAATTAATTTTTTATGAAAAAAAGAAAAAAGCATCACACTGTCAACTTGATGAAACTTCAAGAGAACCTGCTCAGGCTGAGAACTGCAGACACATGACACAGAGTTTTCGTTTGCTTTAATATTTTACACAAGCTTCAAAACGTAGACAAGACAGAACCATGAAAGACTTTTGCTGTTTATTGTCCCCTTATTAGCAGTTCTGTTCTTCCTACCTTGACACCAAAAACTGCATGATTAATAAGTTTACAAAGGTGGCTATCTACCAAGATTAAATAGGTACAGTTTCAGAAATTTTTAAATACCACTAAAAAAAACCCCTGCACCACAAAAAACTCCAAACAACTCTTAAAATACTGATTAAGCGAGTTTTTTGCAACAGAATTGCAGAATTTTTGGCTTAGTTTTTAAAATCTTTGAAAGTTTTCCAACATAGTCACTTCCAGAACAGCCACGACACACCACGGACAGCAGAGCAGCTCCGGAAGGAGGTGCTGAACACTGCCCTCTCCATCCATCCGCCCCTCACGGAAACCTTCTCAAACCCAGATCTGAAACACTGGTATCAGGTGTGACAAAACACAGCCCAGGAGCCTTCAGGCCAACCAGCTAAGGCTGATGGGCAGAGAGCTTCCAGTGGCTGTAGAACGGCACAGAGATAGCACGAGGGTTTTGGCACAGAAACAAAAATCAGAAGGCTTATTAATACACTCCTCAGTTTCCAGCAGATAAATCCATTGTTATATGTAACAGCGGAATACCTTTTTTCTTCTGGCTCAAAATTCTAGTCCACAAAAACTGGTGTCCCTTAACATAGTTGGAGGTTTCTTTACATTTCTTTTATACATATTCTTTATTTATACATATGTATGTATTTACCCTCACAGGAAAGCTAAACTTCTTGGTCACACGCAATGAATGTTCCCCTCAAAGAACTCTGAACATGTACTGCCTGAATAGGAAGTGAGGAATTCTTTCAGGAGGAGGGAAAAAAAAAAATAAATTACCTTCTTTTAAGCCTAAAATCCACATGGTATCCAAGGCGTCAATTAAGGTAAGCCCGAGCCCAAACCACTCGCTGTAGGACTTGGACAAAGGCTTCAGCTCGTCATGGCCCCAGGCAAAATCCTTGTATCCTTTCCAGGCGTGGTGGAAGGCTTCTATCACCGCCGTCTGACGCTCATTGATGGGCACTGCCAAAGGAAGCCAGCACCTTGCTCAGGACTTCTGCAGCGGAGTTATGCGGCTATACCAAATGCCATTTTGCTGCACTCTACCCAAAATAAACCTTCTTCCAAATGAAATTATCAGCGTAATGGGAAAACCCGCCTCAGGTTATTATTTTCAGCACAGCTTTCCCTCTGCAGAATAACCACTGTTTCTCATCAGCCATTCAGCCAGGCAGAAACAGAAATCTCTCCCTGGCAAAAAAAAGTCACTCCTGCAAATGAAATATTAAAATAATCACATGCAGCTGTTCAATGAGCATCACTAAAGCCCAAAGACCCGAAAGTCATGAAGTGTCAGAATTAAGATCATTTAAATCAACCGTAGTTCAGCTGCGGAATACATACGCTTAACAATACTACTCTTGGCTAATTTACCACATACACCATTCTTTCCTGCATCTTCCCCACCTTATTCATTGCTTTCTGCTAAATTTAAAATCAGTTCACAAAATTATTTCTCTTGAACTTTTCATTTAAAACAAAAAACGAAAATTTACATTTTCCATCTTGGGCAAAGCCATGTCTTTTTCCATGGTTCTACTGAAACTTTTGCTCGCAATTTGCCCTGAAGTTGAGCTTAGGTGACACAGCCAACACCAAACATTTCAAGCCCATTAGCTGAAATTTTGAAAAATCATAAACAAAGATTTCTGGAGGGGGAAACACCAAGCAGCGTAACTAACCCCACATATATGAAGCTAGCAAAAGCCAAATACATCCCACTGTAACACGCCACGTTTATCACAGCAGAACGTCCTCTTACGAACCCAGAAAGCAGAACCACAGGGTCTTTACTGCACCAGGACAGCAACTGCACAAACAACTCCTACAGCTTTCTGGGAAGCCTTCAAAATGGTTCTGTTTAATCTGGGGAGGAAATCACTTTCCCAGTATTTGCAGATCAAAAGGAAAACCACTGCGGAGAGAGGCAGCTGACTCTGTCGAGCCCTCTCTCTTTAGACTATCCTTTCCTGGAGGAAAGACGGGAATGTCGGCCTCCTCCCAGAGGCCGTATTTCAAAGATTTGTCACCAAAATTTATTTTCAAATTCTGAAGGCTAATAAGCATGAGGGCTGTCATGGTGGAATAAGGACACTGAAAGGCTTGGATGTTCTAAGTACATAATCTTTCCCGTGCTTTTTGTTGCCTTTAATTAAAACAAATGAGATGTGTATGGGGAGGAATCGCACAACTTCAACCAGAAAAGTGAACGGAAATAAAGGTATCATTAACCGTACTATTTACCTGGTTCTTTCTGCTCTTCTGCTTCCACAGATGAAGGTTTTTCTGGTTCCTTTATTCTACTAGATGGAGGTTCAGTGCTTTGGTCAGGTTCTATCACTGCTCCTCTCCAGCTGCAAAGACAGAGTATTGTAATTAAGACTTAATTTGATCACAGAAAGTCATGTAAATGAATGAGACTTACCTCTGCACTTCCTTGTTCTCATGATGCTTTAATAAAACATGACTTGGATTTTGTATCAAGAATCAAAATAACTGTTGTCCACTAGATAATTTTTCTGTTCAAGGAAAGTAATTTGCACCAGAGAAATTTTACTGGATTAAGAAACGTGTCTTACAGGCTCTTGGAATTTCATCAAATACCTTGGCAATGGAAATTAATAAAGAACGTCTAAAAAGAATTAAAACATCTGACAATGCTGCAGGAGAAATATTTTATTAACTAACAGTTCTGAAACGATCACAGGAGCCACTAACACCAAATGGTACCACACAAATAACGACAATCAAAAAATCATGAATACGCACATTAAAGTACTTGCTTTGGTGTCAAGGTTCGCAAGCCTTCCCTACCACCATGGATGCATAAATCAGCTCTGACAGGTTTTTATTAAGAATCTCCTGAAGGAGAAGTCTTTCAGAATGGACTTCAAGTCAAGCCAAGTTCTTATCAAGACCAGGGAACCTCAACCACTCTGTTTAACACACAGCTATGTCGCCTTTGAGTTCATCCTGCGCCTCCTAAGGGAGGCGGGCTGACAGGACCTTTAAAGTTTATAGTGTTTACAGTCAGCATACCTTATGACATACATAAATCCCATCATTTAGTTTCTTACTTTCGTTCTTTAAATTTGTAACAAGTCTTCACTGTGTTTTCACTGCTCTCCTAAGTTTTCCTGTTACCACCCAGTTAACTCCACGAGTTACAGCGTAAGCGGAAGCACAGGAATAAAACACTTGAAGTCGTTCTCAGAGATTTCAGATTAATACCAACAGCCAAAATGCTGATGCAGGCACAGTCCTGACGCCACGATCAGCTCAGCTGTGCTGGTACTGCAGAGGACACAAACACATACAGAAACCAACTCTAACGTTCCAAATCCTGAGAACGCCTGCTGAACCTGCAGTAGTCTTTCCCATATCCAAGTTACATCCCTTCAGTTATTCCCAAATCAAAAGATTTCAACCAATAATATCTTAGGGAACAACTTAGTATAAATATCATCACAGCAGCATAGCCCCTACCATCTCTGCCTAAGGGGTCTCTGAACTGTGCGACTGATCTCTTGTAAGAAAGGCGTCAGCGCATCTCATACTGTTACACGCACACGTCTACCGCTTCTGCCAGCTCACCTCGGGCTCACCGTCTGTCGCGGCCTCACACCCCTAGCCAAGGCCCACGCTGGTATAATTTGCCAAGCCTGGCCCAGGACAAAGACACTCGTGACAGTATTGTTGTACTGATACCAGTACATTAATATTGACTACAAAACAAACGGCGGAAACCTGCCGACACTGAGAATTCTCCTGAGCATTAAGAGTGTCTGAGTGCGTTAGAAACACTGACAGCCCTGCAGGGCTCCAAATCGCTGCAGCTCGAGGACGCAAACAGTAAAACCAGAAAAGCTGCACACTCACTGAAATTACACTCACCAGCCTGGCCATCTCAGCAGCTGTCAGGCCAGACCCGAGCACAAATATATGCAAGGGGTGAAATCAACCTCAGACACAGACAACAAACAGCCCTTAAACTTTCACTCCAGCATCCAACGGATCTTGACGGGAGCGAGAGCACTCTGACGCGCTGGAAACATTTCTACCTGATAACAGATTTCTCTGTTTTCTCCTCTTTATCAGCCTGGACCGGCTCTTCTACAGCCTTGCTGGTATCATGCCGGGTCTTCAGCCTCACATCCCTCCGTGGTGGCTTGATCTGCAGATTGGAAGGACCACGCCGAACATGAGGCGGCCTTGGCAGCTTCTGAGAGATAAAGGAACGTGCTTGGTAAGTTGCAGAGATGGTGAAATTTCAAACCACAAACCAACAGCATTCCAGTGTTAAACATAACTTCAGATCAATCTTTTTCTGATATCCTATCAGCATACAAGTTCTGCCCTGACTGGAAGGTACGCTAAAGACCTTCGGGTTTTTGTTTGTATTAAACTTTTGGCAAAATTATCCAGTTCTTAAGTTTACGCTGATAAATTACTTTTAAACTACCTCTACTGCTACCAGCTGTTAAATTAACACAAGGCACTGCCAACGGACTGTGAAGATACTAGATTCCACTTTACTAGCCACAGAAAATTTTTATTGGAATTAGCAAAAGCATGCAACAACAAGCTTACACAATTACAGCATCAGGTAGTACCAAGAATTACTGTACAGTAATACATGTCCATTTGTGCACCATGAGGGAAAGGTTTAATACAACCTTTCATATTCATTAACTGGAAATACCAAAATTCATGAAGAGCACCACAATAGCCAGTATTCCTCTACCCACTAACCCACGCAGGAGTTCACGTCTCTTTCCCGTCGCATCCCCCCAGATGTAACCCTTGAAAACCTGCCAACATCTGCTGTTTGCTGCTATTTCTCAAGCCACCAGAAAAGCTGTTCCAATTCCGTGGGACACTAACTGCGTCCTATGTCTCATATTCAGCCCCGACTATTTCGGCTCCTCACAACAGCCAGGTTGACCTCTGGAGCACTCCAAGCCCAGACAGATTAATCACAGCAGGAGAGTGAAGCCTCAAGTGAGAGGTCACCGTGACCTAAAGCCCTGGCACTCCTAGGCATATCAGTGACTAAGAAACAGTATACTGAACGCTTAAATAAAAAACGTAAAGCCAAGAAACACTATACCAAAGCCCTTCCTGAGAGGAGAGCATTCCACCCAGAGCAGACTTTTATTGCAAGTTATAACTCCTTTCTCCTCAACAACTGTTGGAAACAAGCACTGTTTGCAGCTTTCACAGACTCTTTGGTAGCTTTGTAATTCTTCTCACAGTACCTGCGGTGAAAGCTCTGGGTGGTCTCCGAGACTGGAATCTGCTTTCTGGGGTGCTGGCAGCACGGCTGGATTTGCCAGCTTTAATCCAGGAATTTCTGGTTCTGTTCTCTGATCATCCAGCGATTTGTTTGCTAGACCTAGGCACACAAAACTGCTCAGCACAAGGAATCAACAGTTTAGGCTCCAGCTAGAAATTTATAGCAGTTTGCTGCATTCACGTACTAGATGCACCTCCAAAAAATGTTTCCATTCACAAATCATTGATAAACCCACAGTAATTGTTGGACACAAAGCGTCTTTTGGTATCAACACGCTCCCTAATACACAAGGAGGCTGCTAAAAAGCACATGCTGTTTTTTTAATTGCTATTATTTTAGCTTCTCAATACAGGTAGTAAGATAGTATTGCAGGTAAACGTGCCTTTGTATTGTAAAAAGCTTGTAATTCTAATCTGATGGACAATCCAAACCAAGAGAGGATTATCTCACCCTACTGTTAGGTTTGGGTTCCCGGTATCTACACACAAACATAATTAAAAAAAAAAACAAAACAAAACAACACTAAGTGCCTTCAAATCTTAATGGACTAAAACAAAACATTGCTGCAGTCAAGACAAACAACAACAGGCGTAAGGAAAGTATTTCTGATTAAGCAGAAACAAGTCATTGTCACATAAAATCACCTCACAGCTGCCCTTTAATGGACACACCCGGTCATTGTCAATAAAAATTAAAACTAATTATAAGAACTATAAATCTAACCCCGCCCTCCAGTACTTCGGAGCTACACAGAGGACGTACTTCTCCACGGTTCCCCCAGGCTGGTGTATGACACAACTCCACAGACTGCCAGGAAGGCCAACAGGAAGAGAATCACGCTCCGCTGTAGTCGAGACAGCTGCTTCCATTTCTTTAGCAGAGAAAACAAGAAAGAGGAAGAAAATTTAGCACGACATTAAGAGCCTACTCAGTCAAAACTAAACTCATATCAGTTCATTCAGAGCAAGAAACAGAAAAGCGAGCAGGTTTAATTTTACCCTCCGTTCCCAACTGCAGACATCCATGGCTTCTTTTCTCTCATGGCAGAGAGAACAGGAATACAAGGTGCTAACATGTGGCACAGCAGGCTCGGAGAAACCTCGGAGCTGCTGGCTGCAGGAGCCTCAGAGCCGGCCAAGTGCCGAGACCCCCAGCAAGCATCGCCCACAGTGCGCTGCCTCTCGCCCCGGCCTTCGCCATGCCCGGGAAATCGTCTCAGAGCCTCTTTCCTCCCTTCTGGCTGGGGAGGTACAGCAGAACGTCCACGCAAAACAAGAAACGGAAGAAAGTGGAAAGAAAACAAAAAACCTTACTGCGGCAAAGAAGCCAGGCTCAGCATGAGCTCAGCAGCAGCCGCTGGGCAAGCAAAGCCAGGCTCCCCGCCCCAGCAACACGCGTGGGGCTGCCGCGCGGCCGTGGGTCAGGC